CTAGAGTAAGGAGAAAGAGTGATAATCCTAAATGCCCTGTAGCCTCCTACTTATAAGTGTGGTGCACAACACACCCATAAACAAGACTCTACTAGACACGACTTGTAGACTCCCTAGGACATAACTGCTCCGATACCACTTCTGTCATGACCCAAGTCGAAGGGCCATGACGGGCACCCGGTACCATACTCAACGAGTACCAATGTAACACATCTTCTCGTACTGTCATGGATAAATAGGCCAAAAGGGTCATCATGAGATAACCAGAATAAAACATAAGGGAATACTAGATATAGGACGACCCAACATGACATAGAAACTTATACATGTGACATACGGGCCTATAAGGATGACAAGATCATTTGTATACTCAAAACATAGGCCGACAAGGCCATATAAGTATCCATATACATGACATCCGTCTACAAGCCTCTAAGAGTACATAAACATCATATAGATCTCGAGGGCCCCGCCATACCAATCAATACATATCATAATCATACTGACCAAATAGGCAACTCCGAAGCAAGTGGAGTGCACCAACACCTTCCACTGAGCTGATAGCCTACTAGGAGGACTGTCAACCTGTCTATCGGCACCTGCAGGCATGAAACATAGAGTCCCTAGGCAAAAGGGACGTCGGTACGAATAAAGTACCGAGTATGTAAGGCAGGAAAGCATAAGAACATTAATGTAAATAGAGGTAGAGAAGATACAACCGGTAACATATGAGTGCCTCCGAGGGCGAGTGACATGAAATGCATGATACATATATATATATATATATATATATATGCATATACTTTCGAAAACATACGCCTTTGTGGGCATCATCATTATATCGTACTCGACCTCGAAGAGGACTCGATAAAAATATACCCGGCCAGCATAAGGCTCGATAACATCGTACCCGGCCACATAGAGCTCGGTAAAGCCAACTGATCTGTGGTTGCACAATAGGTACCGTACCCGACCGACTATAGCGCGACTCGGTTGTGTAATATATATATATATATATATATATATATATATATATATATATATATATATATATATATATATATATATATATATATATATATATATATATATAAAATGCATGTGTAAGGCCCCGTGAAAATTTTCACTCAAAAACCCGAGATTTCGTAGTGCCATGTTAGGAATATGTGTTAGAAATTCGTAAAATCCTTCGCCTTGTCGCGGTTCGGACCCTTTGGATTGATCTGTGCATTGAAAAATTAAGGAATAATGTATTTCTAGAAAAGTGTGTTTCTACGGTCCATAATGCGATTGCATAATAGCTATGCGGACCGCATAGTCGACGCAGAGTCAGACAATTTGTTGGTTAATTTTGAGGTCAACTATGCGGCCAATTATGCGATCGCATAATCAATATGCGGGCTGCTTAGTCATCGCATATTTCCCTTGGCACTTTTGCGAGGGGCAGTTTTGTGGTGCATTATGCGACCGCAGAACAAGTATGCGGACTGCATTCTTGTTGCATACCCGGGCAGTTTGTTCAGGTTTTGGGGACCATTTTTGGGGGCCGCATGTCCATTATGCAATCGCATATGCGATCGCAGATTGTGTCGGGGCTTCTACTTTCTAACTTTCAAAACCCGACCCCATTAAATTAAAAACACCCCCTTAGACCCCTTTTATGCAATTTTCCTACAATTAGAGTGAGAGAGGAAGTTCTAGAGAGAAAGGGTGATCTTCATCAAGTCCGCACTTAATCTTTGCCTAAACCCTTGAAGATTATCAAGTAAAAATTTGCTAGGCCATCATCCTAAGAGCTAAGAACTTGTGCCCTAATCTACAATTTCGAAATTTAAAATAAGTGATTAACAAGTGGGTTCATGGGTATAAGAATTGATTATCTTGCATGCATGAGTGGTAATGGGGTATGGGAAGATTGTGAGTTAAAAGGATGGCAATTGGGGTGTAAGGTGATGAAAATCTCTCACAAAAGGGTCCTAAAACCTCAATGCACGCCTAGTGCCTGATAATATACTCAAATGAGCTAGAATCTTAACCATGTCTCTAATTCTTAGTTTAATTTGTAATTCTCATAAAATAGATCGAAGTTGCTAGGAAATTCCGGAATTATTGTAAGGAGTTAAGGAAAGCTCCATATGCTAACCATCTTCTTCTAAGTGTTTAACTCTTGGTGTCCGAATAGTTGGCGTGAGTTCCGGATTGATCACATTTGATGGATTGCATTAACGTATTTGATTGACAGACTTTTGTTCCAAAATTGTTCTATATGTTTACTCTGAGATCATGATAGCTGAAAATGTGATTATGTACTCCAAGTGTTCTTATCTTTCCTTATGTGTGCATGCCTTATATGATAACCCCTTACCGACATGAATGATGAATCCATATGAACAAATAAATAAGGGGAAAGACTTGAACTGTAACACTGTATCCAAGTGCCAAGAGATAAACTAATAAAAGATGTATGTGGTGCCACGTAATGGAAAAAATGGAAATAAATGTACACTAAGGAATAATTGAAAGAGGTTATGTCCCAAATGAGATGGCTTAGCCGATCGGGCCGAGATCGGACGCCATGGTGTACACATGGTGGCATTTACATGGGATCACTGTTTATCATTATGGATTTGGATATGTCTCACTTGAGATGGCTTAGGTGGTCGGGCCGAGACCGGACTCCGTGTAGAAATCACGGTGGCAGTATGGGTTATGGCACTTGGCACTAAAGAATATTCACCTAAAGGAATCAAAAGACTTAACTGGAACCATGTGAACCTTATTTGGTATTTCCCTAGTAATTTTGTGAAGTACTTGTAGATGTTACAACAGCCTTCTATTTGTTCACTGGTCATCCTATTAAGAATTTTGTTTGCCTTACATACTAGTACTATTCGACAGTACTAACGTCCCTATTGCTGAGAGCGCTACATCTTTGAATGGATGTAGGTGGTTCCGTTGCTGATAGTGTCAATCGCAGATAGTGGTGCTCTCTTTCTCTCGTCATAGCTGTCTTGGTGAGCCCCCATTTCTCCCAGGGGTTTTGTAGTTTTTCTTTTGTGTAAATTTCCATATTTTGAGGTATAGTCGGGGCCTTGTTGCCGGCATTATCATTTTGGTCTTCTGTATCCTTAGAGGCTCCATAGACATTTATGTGGGTCATGGATGGTTGTCGGGGTGGTCATAGGATCACATTGTATTTTGAAACTTTTCTCCACTAGACTGTCAACTGTATGTACTTTTGGAAACACAACTATGGCATGTTTCACTTAAGTAAGAATCTAACTAGCAATTTTTATGCATTTATATAACAACTCTACCTCCCACGTTTAATAATTGGTAATGCATTACTTCTTCGGATATACAATGAGTCGGGCGAGAAAGGATAGATAGGCTTGCTCGACCGGGTTCGCTCGATTGCACTCCCCGAAGTTTGGGGCGTGACAGCGGCTTAGCTACATGGTAAGCTTCGGTAGCCAGTATAGGCTTCTTCCAATTTTGCGCCCTCCCTCTCTTATTAAGTTTTCTTTTGCAGGCCTTTGACAAGCGTAAATCCGAGCTGCTTCGCCATGAGGCCGGGCTGCGGATAGCTTTGGATGGGGAGAAATCCCTTAGGATCCTTTGTACAAAAAAGGATGATGAGCCGGTATACCTGCGGCGCGAGGCGGATCGAAGTCGGAACTACGAAAGCAATCTCGAAAGATAGGTAACCTACACTTCGTGTCGATGTATGCTCCCCCTTCCGCTTTCGGAGATTAATACATCAATATTTCAGTTGGAGAGCAAAACGGAGGAGCTGGAACGACTTTGGGGTGAAGTTGGCCGGGTCAAACGTGAGTTTAACGAGTTGAAGGCTCAGGTAGATTCCCAAGTTACGACCAAGGAGGATGCTTTGGCTAAGGCTTCTGCCCTCGAGGTGCAACTCCGGAACGCTCATGCAAATGATTCCGTCCGAGCGAATATGATTACAAGGCTCGAGTATGAGCTTTTAAAGGCGAAGGCCGAGGTTGTGGATGCCTAGGCCGAGGCTATAATGGGCCGCACTAAGGGTGACAGTAAAGTGGAGGTCTATTTGAAGGGCGCTACTGATGCTCGAGTTGAGCTAAGAAGGGCTCTTGACCATGAGAGCAAAAATAAAGAGTATGTGAGGTGTAAATATCGGAGGGAAACCCTCGAGGAAATTCATGCCAGGGGCTTCGACCCCTCGGAAGTGATAAAGCAGGCGAAGGCGGAAGAATTTGAAGCTAAATTCCTTCTGTCCGATGCCGAGGATAGCGAGGATGAGGCCGACGGGCCATAGTCCCCTAGGGGAACGTAGATTTCCTTTTCTGTTTCTACATATAGTACTTTCAATGTACATTGTAAATGGAGCTTGTATTTTCTCGCATATATGTATAAAAGGAAACCTCGCAGTTTAATTTCTCCTGCATTTCTTTTTGCATTTTAGCCAGATGAACTGGTCTTTGAGTAAAAGGAGTCCTTAGATTCATAGTATGGCCCTGGGGCTCATTAGGCTGGCCCGTAGGCTTTTACGCGCTTTGGTTGGTTCGACCTTTTAGCGTAAGCCGGCGTTTTAGCTCTTATGCTTTTGCTCTTAGGTATATTTAGTTAACTTGTTTGGGTTCAGTCTCCGAGTCGGGTTTCGACTCGAGCTCATTCGACCCCTAAATTTCCAAACAACAATTTGAGTAAGATACAAAAAGATAGAACATGGATCTATTAATTCCTATACATCATGAGAGGAAACGGATAATATACCTATAGCCACATCCAATGGCGTCTTTGAATCATGNTAGCTTTTAAAAAAAATAATATTGGTGAGAAGTAATTTGTGTTTAACTAATGTACTTTGAGCAACAATTAGTATTTGACTAAGCTTTTAAAAAAGCTTTCTCAGTGTATTTACTGAAAAGTGTTTTTAAAAATAAAATTACTTCTAGGGAGATGCTATATTTTGAGCTTCTAATTCAACTCAAAAATAAATTTTTTTTTCTTCTGAAAGATTGGCCAAAGAACTTAACTTTGGAAAAAAGTACTATTGACTAAAAAACAACGAAAAGAATTTGACCAAAAAGGCAACTATGGAGAAAATCACTGTGGGGGATTCATAACATTCTTTCCTTGAACACAATCCATTTGGAAATTTTAAAAATTTGATTCTTTAGATTCTGTGGCGGAATTTTCTAAGAAATTGTCATTCCTCTTCATTTAGTTCATACTATAAAAATCTTTTCTTCTCTCTCGGTGCGTTTCACTCTTTCTTTATCCTCCTCTTTCCTTTTATCCAAACTCAGGGGAATAATTGTTCCTTTCTTACTATGGTTTTACAAAATTACTGATTGGGTTTAGGTTTAATTTGTGGGCTTGACTGTAATTTTTCTTGCAGATGGTTTTGTCGCTCTGCGGAGATTCATTTACCATTTGAAAATTATTCATTGGCATTATTTTTTCCAAGACGAGGGCTTTCAGGGAAAATTGATTATTGAAAAGTGCCAAAGGCCGGGTGAATTAGGTATGTATTTTACACCATCAGTGTAGTTTAACCTGTTGTAGCAGGTTACTGTTTATTTTAGCTTACCAATTAATAGTGCTATTAATAGAATTACCTGCGATCACTTTTAAGTGCTCTAATTGTATAAATATTTTTATCAATGCATAAAACTTAGACTCTTTATTAATACTCAGTTCTATGGACTAAACCATAAATCCCAGAGAATCTTGAATTACATACTACTAATATGGATGCATGTATTGCATAATCTATAAGTGGCATGCATAGTTTGCAAAAACTTCTCCATTGTTTATTTCGATTATTGAATACTGTAAGCTTTCCTTTTGTGAGACCCATTTTCAATTTCTGTAAGTTATGAGATTTCAGTTCTGAGAAATTTGCTTGATTTCCTGGTTCCTTAGAGAACCCGTGGTTCAATCAATCAATTGCCTACGATTTAATCCTTCATTAGTTGGGTTTGCTATATGAATCCTCTGTATTTCTGTTCGTTCTGGTTTATATAGGGCACATTTCCCTCCATGAGCACGTCCATTTAATGTTCGCAGGATTTGTTAAAGTTTTTATAGAGATAGGTAGAATCACCATAAAAATGCTACTAAATCAAGCACCAGCGATTCTGTATCCAGGAGAATCTTGGCTAGTTGATCGAAGTGGGTAGCTCCCATGAGTGCCCAGATCTCTTATACCGTAGGTACTTAGGTGGGTTGCCCTTAAATTGAAGTGACGAGGTTGGAAGAAAGAAGTAGGATCCCTATTGAATAAAGCTTGGACTCTTGTTCGAGTGCGAGTCTTAAAAGTAGCTAAAGGTGGGAAATCAACATGATTACCTTTAAACGGACACTCTTTTTAATGACTCTTCTTAGGGAGTAGGATCTGTTACGTAAAAGCCAAAGATAGATAGCAAAGAAATATTTTATTTTTGAAAGCAACAGTGTTTTTACCTCTATCGTTTAGGTAGACTGATAGATCTTGGAAAAAATATGGTGGAAAGTCCGACGCATAAACTATGTGTAACGTGAATCCCCCTTTTTACCGTACAAATGACTCTCACCCTGTCAACTTACAGCAAACCTCTTCCTTTATTGCGAATTCGGGCAGAATATGCAAGACTCACATAGGCAAAGTTAATTCTCTTGTTGAGGCTTTAAATATGCATTTAATTTTTGATCATTTTCATCAGAGGTTGGGGTTGATCAGATTCTAATTCAGATAAAGCTCTTTGTCGACGTAATCTTTTTGCACTTATTAAAGCTGGTGTGAAGCTGCTATCAAGCTGTTATGAATATTCTGGTGAGCTTGGTTTTAGTCTACCATCTGTTTGAAACACTTTTGGAATGATAACATGTGTCTTAAATAGCAGTTGGGCTAAGATGTCTGTAATGGAATCTTGGGGCCACCTGGTGTTCTGCATGGTAGATAAATTTATTGCAACGCTTAAAGTTGAGGAGAACAGAACTACTGTAACAATAGTAGTTACTAGCATTGTCAGGAAATGAACGTGGTTTCCACGCTTAAGGATCTCCCTATAACCACTTGTCAATATTAGTAATATGTGTCTAATGAGCAGTGTGGCCTTTGAGACGTGTACGCATATTGCTTTGCATGAATAAAGTGCATCAGTAGCTACTTGAATATAAATATGGGTGATAGGTTGCAAACTTTGCATTTCAAGGGGAGTTCGAGTTTTTCATAGGAGATCCAAGATTCAAGATGTTTCATGAGCAACTCTTTTGCTGAACCATCCACTTCCATGTAAGATGATTTCATTAAACTATGATTTGCTGTTTTCTCCTTTGAGCTGTACCTCAGGTATAGGTCTAGTACATTTATGTCTTGCCATGAAAAAGAAAAATGAGCGTTCAAAATACTTTCTCAACATAAAAGCTCCAGTTTCTTGTTCATATAACAACCAAACCTTATTTTGTTAGTGTCAACTATATTGAACATTTCATGGCAACAGAAAACAGTTATTCTCCCACCAATTGGATGTAATCATTGATCATTTAATTTAGCGTGCATGATCATGTAGATCAGGATCTGATTTGTGAATTGGAAAACGGTACCTGGTTGCATTTATTCATGCTTGTTTGTGCATCAAGGCACCCACATCTGTGCTTTGAGACTTGCTTTTTCAAGCAGATGAACCTATTGTTTTCGCTGAAATTCATATTATACAGTTTAAAATTAATGACGAAATTCTTGCATGCACTTATCAAGATTTAGGACTACAGTAAAAAGTAGATAATTTCTCACAGTTGTCTTGTCCTTGTAGTCATCTCTTTTTGGCTGCTCCCTGTGTACCTTTTCCTTCTCTTATTTTTTTAGTTTTCCCAGATAAAGTCCACCTTCAAATTGGTGCCGCTCGTATTTATAATCTTTAAACCTCTGAATTTGGAATAAGCATAAAAAATATCTATCAAGTTAACAATGCTAATATAAGGAGGGAAAATATAAACTTAACATACTGAACAGTAGTTCAGGAAATGATTGGTAATGGTTTTACCTAGTGTGTTTGTAGGTGGTTTCTTTAGTTCTTGCAATTCTAGGGATGGACTAAAATAGAAATAGGGTGAAGGGAGTGAAATTGTTAATACTTTACCAATATCGGTTAAGCGAGGTAATTGAAATATTAAATATGAATGCATTGGTTTCACTAGGACATGGTCCAATCGCTGCAAAGCTTTCTGATTGATGTGGGAATATTTTAAAGTTTATTTGCTGCATGTTTAGGAATTTCTTGAGTACACAAATGGGACTATGGGGGAGAGGTGCAAAAGCTAGAGTTGTTAAAATGAAAAGAAGTAGAGTTTGGGTTGAAAACATGTAGCTTATATACTTGCATACATGCAATGCTATATAAATATACTTCTTGTTATTGTATTTGAATAGGTTATTAGATAAACCCTTGTATGTACTGAAAACTGTTGAACATTGTGCCTGAGTGTAGTATGTCTATTTAGAAGCCATGATACTTGTGTGTGGCTTGGCAATCCACCATGAAGTCAAGATGGGTTAGTTCATGTTTTTAATTCTATCATCATGCATCTTTTGAGTATGGAAAGGAAAATGTTGTATTTATTTGCTACGGTACAATTAGCAGCCGTACATTGCCCATTCATCAAAATAAAATTAACTTGCTAATTGCAGCTTTGACCATAGCAACTTTATGCATTTCACATGAAACTTTTGAGATATCTATATGTTCTTCAAGTGTTACATGAAGATTGGTCTCGAAATTTGATATATTGAAAATGAAAATGAAAATGGTTAAGGAGGAATATTAACGGGAAATGTATCAATGAAGTTGAATGTAGTATTACTATTCATAGCATTCCTTTTGCAAATCTAGTTTCCTTAACACTTTCCTGTTGTAGGACTGCTCCTCCACGGTCATTTTTTGTTCAAATCTTGACATGGTTGAGGCCTTTGTTTAGTGGTGAGACCGTGAGAGGAATGGAAATGGTGCAGTTGTGATTTTTCGTGAACAGTATTGTTAGCGAGCCTGTTCTGAGTATAGGTGGTGATGGTACTTTTTTCACTGGGAACTCAGTCAGGCTTGGCCTGGTCCTGTAAACAGAGCCAAGCTCGGGTCTGGCTTCCCTGGATCTGCTCGCTTAATTCTAGCAGCAGATGTCACCATCGAATGACAAAAGATGGTGCCATCGCCGAGAGCAATAACAAGGTCAGATGGGTGGAACTCTCCACTTTACTGCTAGATTGCGAACAAACTTGTTGTGAGGTCTGCATTTTATTTATCTAGTATAAGTTGGAGTACCAAAAATTTGGGCAGGTAGGGTCGACAAGGGCAGCCCTGCACAAAGCATCCCGCGTTCTCGTAGGGTCCCGAAAGGGTCGAGCCCCAAGGGGTGTAATGTAGGCAGCCTACCTTGACGCAAGCATCAGTGGCTAATTCCACAGTGCGAACCTGTGACCTATACGGTCAATGATACATCTTAATTGAGCACAAGCTACTAGCATTGGCTAATCTTTATATAACATGGAATAAAAAACTTCCTCCAATTTATGTGATGTAATAACTATCTGCATATTTCGATTAAGTCTATATAAGATAATGTTAAGTTCGACTAAGCAATGATCCATGTCATCCAAAATATTCACGTCATTCTGAAATTCTCATGTTCCATTATCTTTTTGCTATTCAAATTCATTTCTTATATTCTCTGTGTATAACCACAATTTATATTTAACCTGACTTATTATCTTATATTTTTTGAAGGTTTAGTCATAAAAGTTTAGTTTTCTGAAGTAATTCAAACTATTGATTCATAACTTTAATTGAATTTAGTTCTTGATTTAACTTCATTAGGCTAGACTGAATAATCGAATGTCATGATGTTTGAACCCTCGGTAGTCCCCTAAAGATCCAGAAAAACAAAAAGTCAGCTCAGGCCCGGCTGGGTAATGTAGCAAATTTTAGTTGTTTGGGTTTGTGACAAAGTTCTGTTTCAATTCGTTGCTCAGGTCCTACTATTGTGAGCATCCTTCTTTGTATTTCTGTTTTTCGTTCTCTTTTCCTTTTTTATTCCTTGAGGAAGAGAGGTTGTCTTAATGATGTGTTAATGGCTGTCTTATACGGATTAGATTAGTGCTGTCCCTAGGGCTTTAGTCTAGTGGTGAGAGAGCGCAGCTTGCGGCGTATGGGTTAGGCGCACATCACAAGTTCCTACATTTCCGCATACAAAGACCTGATATTCAAGTGGAAAAGGGTAGAGGGATGTGCCTATTATCCATCGAGTACCGAACCATGCGCCACTAGCCTTCGGGGATTTCTCGTTAATAAAATAAAAAATAAAAAAACGAGATTAGTGCTGATAAATGATTGAAGGGGTATGTTAAAGAAGCTAGAGATGGTTAATTATTTTATTTCTTATATAAATCCACTTATCCAAACTGAAGAATAGAGGTCAGATGTAGCACTTAAGGCAATGCGGTAAGGTGGGTCTCTCGTTCTTTGGTGGTGCTGAGAGAAGAATATAGAATTATTAGCAAATAGGGAGAAGTGGACTCATTCGTTTTTTCTTTTGTATCAAATTTCTTTTGAGATGGGAAAGAGGGAGGGCATCATATTTGAAGGTAATACTTACGGTTTTCACATGAATTTGTTCATTTTTCTCATCCTAGAATATTAATTTTGAAGCACATACACTTTCCAAATTTCCAAGAAAATAAAGTTTAAAGATTTTTACATTCACTGAAGTGCTTAACAGGAACTAGTTGTAGCTGAGGTCATGCACAAAATGAATTTATTGAGGTTGCTTATCTATGTTGCGCGGACTCTCCAAAATGTTGCCGCACCCATGTCAGATCCTTAAAAAATGCACTACCTTTGGAGGATCTGACACGCACCCGACGATATTTTTGGAGAGTCCGAGCAACATAATTGCTTATTGATTAATAGAAATAAACAATTTTATCCTATTTTGTTTGCTTTTCTTTTTCTTTTTCTTTTTCTTTTTGTTTTTTTGATCAGAGAATTGTTAGCTGGCTCCCAAGGAGTTGGAGAGAGTTTGGCTTGATATTAGAGCCTTTGGATTTACTATTGGATCCTTGATCATTAAAGCAGAACCTTCGGTTAAGATTCTTTGGATTTACGGGTGCGGCACCAAAAACGAAGAGTCCGAGCAACTTAGGTTAAGAACAATATGTTTCGAGGAGGTGACGTTTAGTTTGTCTCTAGGTCAATACCCTTAATTTTTGGCCAACCCCCATCTTTGAAGATTTCTCATTTCTGTAAGATCGCAAAGTTAGAAGCTAGTAGTTCCCCGGGCTCTGATTTTTGGCTAACTTTAGGTGCATCTTCTGGAATAGTGGAATTTAGATTGGGCTGAAGGATATAGCATTTGAAAGGAAAGATCTACAGATGGAAGACAGACTGAGTCCTTGAAGGAACTGATGGATAAGTGTCAGATGAAAGGAACTCAAAAGGAAAATTTGAGGGGGTTAATAGTTTTCCTTTTTCTTCCATTGAACATCTTAAATTTTATTCCTTAATCCTTATTAATTTGCTCTTTTGTTAATCTCTCTCTCTCTCTCTCTCTCTCGTGTGTGCATGCATGCCATCTTGGTACATATGTTAAGGTGACGGGGATACTTGGAGCTGTGTATAGACAGTGGTGAACCTTTGACCTCTTTAATTGAAAGATTACTGAATTTGGCTATTGTCTTCCATCTCACGTGCCATATATATCTGACATTATTTTCCTACTATATTACACTTAAATTTGTATTTCTTATCAGTTTCTGTTTAGGATATTTGTATTGTGAATATCTCGCGGTTTGATCTATTTGGCAGATGTCGTTTACCATTTGTTAAGCTTATCTTACGAGAACTTGGATTTTTCCAAGATTTCTAAGTGTTACTCCAGCATTGATAATTGAGAGAAGATAGCTAAATAGCTCGTGATTTAAGAGTTCAAAATATGCTTGATTCCCTTGATGACAGTAGAATATGTTACATATTCAGGTTGACTTACTAAGGAAAGTTTCGTCGGATCAAAACATCATATTAGCTGGTCCTAGAAGCAACATGAACATGAATCACCCTCATCCATATGGTGAAGATCAAGTAAGTTTTAGATTCTTGTAACATATGGTAGTGCCAATTTTTTAAGACTAAGCCTAAATCTAAGTTATGAACACAGGATGAAGCCACTGTCATGGGCTTTGAAGTTGCAAGATCACCTGATGCAAGTTACAACAATGTGTATCCTGGGCATGAAGATGTAGGGAGGGAACCACCAGCGGTACCGCCACATCTGCATCACACCTTGCTAAACCACCCAACAACAAGAGATCAATCGACATCCCTACCGTTGCCACAGAATGTGGTGCTAAACCATCTCTATATTGAGAACAGAGAAGCCCCGAGGTCAGTTGTAGCACTTGGTGTAACACATCGTTTTCGCTCAAAATATGTTACGGTCATGCTTTACAAGCCCGTTCAACGAAGGTGAGCTAGCATGTCGAACATGCCTGAATGTATACACCATCTTTGGCTTGTACTCTGATGGAAAACAGTAGACGTAAATACACAGCAGTCTGCAGTGGAGAATGATTATTTCTTCCCTGCTGCTAGAAGAAGGAAAATATGGTAGCAGGTATCCTTGGACTTGAATAATTGTAGTTAGATGTTCGATGGTTTTAAAAAATGTACATGTATTATGGCAAAAAGTTAGTGATGTCCCTGTTAGTTTGGCTTAGCAATTATGTAGCATTGTGCGGTTATTGGACTTAAGAATTTGGGAAGTTTACATGTAATATGGCAAGAAGTTACTGATGTCCCTATTAGGTTAGCTTACGATTCTGCTTATGGAGTTAAACTTCTGTTAAACTTCTGCTTATGTTAAGTTGATATAGTAACAAGCTAACTCTCCATATCAAGCTTCATATGATAACCTCAAAGATAGAATAAGAACCTGTTATAAATGATTATATTGTTCCAATGGTTTAATAATTCTTTGAACTGTCAAACATGTATAGCTTAAAACTCTTGATTAATGTAACCCCTACACCTGTCCTTGTTTTCTTTTCTCCTTTTGAAAAAAGTACTCTCTCTATTTCAATTTATGTAACCCCATTTGATTGGGTACGGAGTTTAAGAAAAAAGAGAAATTTTTTTTGAACTTGTGATGTAAAATGAGGCACATATATTTGTGTGGTTATAAATCATTACATAAAGGTAAATTGTTTCCAAATAAGGAAAGAGGTTATCTTTTTGCACGAACTAAAAAGGAAATAGTTTCACATACGGTGAAATTTCAACGAGTGACTAAGTGTTTGCCTGATATTCTGACACAAATTGCACCGTATGGCTTTTGTAAGGCCATTTTTTAAAATTTGTCCATTTTTCAAAAAGTTGTCCAGATACAGCATTCCACTTGCAAAATACATTGCAGGTAAAAGACAATACAATTGCCTTAAAGGTAGAATTTTTGATTTTGTGTCGTCAAGATCCATCTTCTGGCTGACAAGCTAGAATAGTCAGTAGAAATCAGATTGAGCAACAAAAGACGAGTACAAAAGATTTCGATAACGGCTTTCTACTCTCTCCTACAAACTACCGTTTCTAACCCACCGCTGTCCACTCACTTCTCTGTCGGCTCCGACCGGTGCGTATGGTACATCCAAACGACCCCCAGTTGGGGCGGACTCATCCATGGGAGCAATTCAAGCAAAAACCACAAATCCGCACAGCCCCAATCTCTGTAAACATCCAAAACCTAGCACCAGAAATCTCAATCACTAATGACAAACTTTGTTATGTCTGTAGAAGGAGTATCTATAAATTGGGAAATTGATGAAATTAGGGTTTAGATTTGGAAAATGAGTTGATCTATACGTTTAAGAGATGGAAATGGGAAAGGCGGCGTCGCAGCTTATGACCCCTTTCATGAACATACGTGTTGTAATAGTTAGTTGTATTGGACGGATGAAATTAGAAGTCAGCTTAATCAATAATGGGCCCAGATCAATCATCAATTGAGGCGGTTAGTGGGTTGTTAGTTAGTTAGTGGGTTGTAAGAGATTGGGCCTTATATTCCAAGGAGCTCGAGAAAAGACAGTTATGCAAATTCTGGTAATTCATTTCCCATCCTTTTCTCTCTCTTCGTTCTTTCTTCTCTTCTCTTCTCTCCCTTACCTCCCTTCTTATTTTCTCAGGTGATCAGCCATTAAAGCTCAAGCTTCATCTGAAGACCATTAGTTCTAATTGTAGTTTCTGAGTTGTAATTCAATTGGCAGTTATCAATAAAAGTTCGAATACCATTTTTGTTGTCAATTTATATACGAGCATTACATTGGGTATCAGAGCATCTCCTGGCCCTACAATCATGACTATTACAGAAACTCGATCAAAATCTATGGAAGACAGTCTCAAGAAGTTAGAGACACAACTACAAAATCACATTACAGAGGAGAGTAAGAAATCCGAGTCATAGATGCCAAAATCGCTGAACTGGCGAGAAAGTTCGATGTGTTGATGGAAAAATTGCTGCCAAATCACGCAGATATACTAGGTAGTGCACCAGAGGAGATCCATTAGCAAGAAGAACATGGAAGTGGCCTTAGAAGAGAGCAGGTCCCTGTTGCTTTGGTCAATGATCGAAGTCACCATAACAATCATGGCCGCTACAATCCCAGGGTGGAGTTCCCTTATTTTGATGGTGTTGTGGGAGCTATCCTTGTTCTTGGCTGAGGAAGTGTGAAAGGTATTTCCATTATAACCATGTGTCAGATCCAGAGCAAAAACTTGTACTACATCTCAATGGAAGAGCGGAGGCCTGGTACTTTTCTTATCGGTTAAGCAAAGGGAATGTTAGATGGCTAGAGTTTTGCGAAGAAATCTTTAAGAGGTTCCAAGATGCAGACACCAGTAGATTCAATCTCATTGGTGAATTTAAGAAGATAGAGCAGAAGGGAACAATCAATGAATACTTGGAGAAGTTTGAAGTTTTAAAGGCTTGGATTCTGATCAGAAGCCCTACAGTACCAGAGAAATTATTCCTAAAATTCTTTGTAGGGGGCCTTAAAGAAGATATAAGGCATACAGTGAAGATGCTGAACCCCTATAACCTAAGCCAAGCTGTGGAAAAGGCTAGACATCAAGAAAGGGTAATTGAAACTTGCAATAAGAAAGGAAAGGCTACTTTGGGTAGAGGATCAACCTATGGCAATTACCAACAGACAAACACTCACAATCCAACAATGGGTGCCAAGGGAGCAGGGACATCAAATTATTCTACACTAGGAAACAAAGGTTATGATAACAGGAGGAATAATGGGTTGTGCTGGAAATGTGGGAACAAGTATTTCCCTGGGCATCTGTGCAAACACAAGCAAATCAGTGCTATGGCTTCTTCTGAAGACCAAGCTATAGTGGAGGCAATGGAAGAAGGAGACACTGTAGAAGAAGGCAGCCCAAAAGATCAAGCAGAGGAGGAAGTCATAGATGAGGGCATCAGCCTCAATGCTCTCTCTGGGACTGAGGTTCCAAACACAATTAAACTTAGAGGTAAGTCCAAAAGGAATTCAATAACTATCTTATTGGATTCAGGAAGCACCCATAACTTCCTGGACATAGAGACTACTAAGAACATAGGGTGCAAGATTACAGAGTCTGCTCCTATGAGGACCACTGTAGAAGATGGTAATTACCTCATGAGTAGGCATACCTGCCACATGTTCAAATGGGTAATTCAAAGAGTGGAGTTTGAAGATTCTGTGAGACTAGTAAGATTGGGAGGAAATGACATGACACTGGGAGGAGATTGGATGAAAGGCCATAATCCAGTGTTGCTATATTTTGTGGAGTACAAGGTCAGGTCACCCACAAGGGGAAAAAAGTGGAGCTCAAGGGTATTTACAGCCAAGGGAAGGGACAAGCTATCTGGGCTCACTTATTTACTCTAACAGCAGAAGAAGTGAAAGATCAGGAGCGGGTACCTACAGTGATACAACAAGTTCTGAAGCAGTTCCCTGATGTGTTTGAGGAGCCAATAAGTCTTCCTCCCAAGAGGAACCATGACCATCATATTCCCCTGATACCCAACACCACACCAATCATCATAAGGCGTTTTAGGTACAATTCTTTTCAAAATAATGAAATTGAGAAACAAGTCAATGAGATGCTAGCAAATGGAATAATACAGCTTAGTCACTCCCCCTTTTCATCACCAGTAAAACTAGTTAAGAAGAAATATGGAAGTTGGCGGTTCAGTATTGAGTACAGATCCCTTAATAACATGACTGTTAAGGATAAATTTCCCATCCCGCTAGTTGACTACTTAATGGATGATTTACATGGTTCTTGTATTTACTCTAAAATTGACTTAAAGACTGTTATCACCAAATTAGAATGGTGGAAGAGGATGTGTACAAAACAGCCTTTAGAACACATTTGGGGCACTATGAGTTCAAGGTTATGCCTTTTGGCCTAACCAATGCCCCTGTTACATTCCAATCCCTCATGAACTATGTGTTTAGAGCTTATTTGAGGAAGTTTGTTATGGTTTTATTTGATGATATATTAGTCTACAGTGCCTCATTAATTGAACATAACGAACACCTTGACCGAACTGGAATTTCTGAGGGAGGAGCAACTCTTTGCCAAACTTTCTAAGTGCTCTTTTGGACAGTCAAAGGTGGAGTATTTGGGGCATATTATCACCGAGGAGGGTGTAGCTACAAATCCGTTTTAAAATAGAAGCAATGACTAATTGGCCTGTTCCTAAATCCATTAAAGCTCTAAGGGGATTTCTGGGTCTAACAGGCTACTACAGGAGGTTTATACATTCTTATGGTATCATCAGCAGACCCCTAACCAGTCTACTGAAGAATAATGCTTTCTAATGGTCTGCAGAAGCTGACACAACTTTCTTGGCATTGAAACAAGCCATGTCTACTGCACCTGTACTAGCCTTGGCAGACTTTACAAAAACCTTTATTGTGGAGACTGATGCTTGCTCAATAGGGATGGGGGATGTGCTAGTGCAAGAAGGCAAACCTCTTGCATTCTTCAGCAAGGCTTTGGGACCTAGACACATGGTCTTGTCTACTTATGAAAAGGAGTACATGGCTGTTCTATCAGCTGTAAAAAAGTAGAGACACTATCTACAGAGAGGGCATTTTATTTTTAGAACAGACCACTAGAGCTTAAATGTCACAACCCAAACCTATGAGCCGTAACGAGCACCCGCTACCTTACTTAACTGAGTACCAACATACCATATCTTTCTTATTGTACTTTCATTGGAAAATGGAACAAACGACCGTCATGAGCTAACAAGAATAAACATAGGGGAATACTCAATATAGGACAAACCAACCTGATATAAAAACTTATACATATGACGTACGGGCCTATAAGGCCAAAATAATCACTCTTACACTGAACATAGGCCGACAAGGCCATACGATCTTTTACGTACACGAAATCTATCTACAAGCCTCTAAGAATACATAATTTTCATAAAAGTCGGGACAGAGTCGCGGCATACCAAACAATACACGTCTAAATCATACTAACCAAACAAGCAACTCCGAAGCAAATGGAGCGCACCAACATCTTCCGCTGAGCTGATAGCCTACTTGGAGGGCTCTCGACCTGTCTATCGGGACCTACGGGCATGAAACGCAGTGTCCCCAGGCAAAAGGGACGTCAATACGAATAATTTACCGAGTATGTAAGGCACATAAACAAGTACATAACACACATGAAAGAAATATAGAGTAAATGACTCAACCTGTAAGTCTGGATAGCTCTGTAATTCATGAAATAATTGTAGTTTCATGCATATGCATATGAATGTCATGTCGTGCATAG